GGCTAATTACAGGGCAGCAGCGGGGAGGGGGCAGCAGCCGTGGGAAGAGGCGCGGCAGAGGGGCTGGGAGAGCCCCCGGCCCTGACAGCACCGCGGGGAGTACCTGGTGGCCACGAGGGGCTTGCCGTGGAGGTCCGTGCACGGCTCGGGTGGGTGATGGGCTGTGCTGGAGGATGGGATGTCATCAGTGAAGGTCATGCTGGATACGAGAGCACTTCCTCATGCTGCATCCTCCCTCCTGGCTCTGCCTCATGCTCCTTCTCTCCAGCATCTGCAATTTCTTCTAATGGACTTGATGGAACTAATTACAGCAGGAAGACTTTAATGCGGCGCAGGCTGCGCAGCGATTCAGCCGCTGGTCACTCCAAGAGCGTTAATCACTGCACCGACGCGGCATCCCTGAGGGGGGGAGCTGCCTCTCCCTGGAGCGGTGCAGGGCTGCTCCCCAGCACTCAGCTCCTTCCCTCCGTGTGTGGGGACAGTCAGACATCACGGGGGCCTCCCAGAGACCAAGAGTGATGCCTGGAGAGGTCCCAGATGCTGGCTGAGCACCCCTGGGTGCAGGGAGGCAGCTGCCGATGGAGGGGCAGAGCATCTCACTCCATTCCCTTGTCCTGCCTAGGTGTGGGCTCCTGCTTCCCGTGGGTGACACCAGAGTGCTCCAGGAGACATTGCCTCACAGCAAGCCTGAGCTCCTCTGGACACCTCTCACCTTGGCTGGGCAATGGGATCACCTAACACCCAGCTCTGCAACTGCCCAGGCAAACACTGGCCCACAGCAAGACGGGGACAAACTCCAAGAGGTTTCAGGCAGCCTCAACATCCTGACATGTTTCCAGGAGCCTCTCAACATCTCCAGTCCTGCATTTCCCCACGTAACTCTGGGCCATCCTCCCTTTCCAGCCAGGAATTCTCCCTGTCGCCTTGTTTATCCCAGTTAGTCACATGTCCCCTTCCGCCGGCTCTTGCCCTCTGAGCCATCCCAATTTAGCTCCTGTTGTCACTCCAAATCTCCCGGCTGCCTCCTGCCACCAAGCTGGCCCCACAACACAACTCTGGGGAGCACAAAGTGGCCTCACAGGTTCCCTTCTCCTCCAAGTGACCTCAGGATGCTCCCCCCTGTTCCCAGGATCTGTGCTGTGGCTGGGCCCTTGTGGGTCCCCATCTGAGCCCTATTGGGAAGAGAATGGGGACCCAGTCTAGTGCTACTGCTCCCCTGTGCAGCTCCCAGTCAGCCTGCTGGAGCATCCCAGAGCAAGGGGTGTCATTTGGGGGAATGCTGGGGAATCCCCAGCACCCTGTTGCTCACAGGGGAGCACCCTGGATCCTGTTAAGACAGCCAAAGAGGTGACTGCAGCAGGACACTGAGGTGCAGGAGCATCATGCAGGGCTTGGAGTGAGGGCAGGGAAGGGCCCTAAGGAAAGCACCAGCAAACCCCACTCCATGGGGAGATGTGCTTCTGGCTTGGGCTCCTGGTGCCTGAGCGGGGTGGGGGAACCCAAAATGCCTGGCAAAGGGCAGCGAGAGCCTGGCCCAGCAGGGAAGGGAGAGCTGCCAGAAATCCTAGCCCACAACATTTGTTTTTTTTTCTTCAGCCAGTGCCCTGAGGAGCCAGTCCTTGGCAGCTGGGCATGGAGGCACATGCCCTTCCCTACAGAGCAGCTGAAACAACCCAAAATATCCCACCGCATGCAGTTGGGTCTGAAAGGAATATGACAAACAGGGCTGCAATGAGAAGGAAATACTGTCTGAACCTTTATTGTAACCCTTTTTCTAACCAGGCTAACAACTCAAATACCCCAGGAAGACTAAAGAATACAGTATGAGTTTCGATGGAGAGAAAATGGGGAGTTTTACAGTGAAGTCAAATGAACAGCTGTGCCAGTGTCATTTGGTAAGAAATTGACCAACAGGTGAGAAAAAAAGAGACACTGTTTCCCTTGTGGCTTTTTTTCACATCTTGGCTTTTGTTCTAGATGTTCTCATTCCCTGGGTTTCGAAGGTGGAGAGCTGCCCCCGGGCTGCTGAGGTTTGGGGTGTTGTTCTCTAGGCAATAGCCCAAAATTCCGGATGCTGGACACGAAGCTGTTGCTACAACAGCAGATGTACCAGTGCTGCGGGACCTTCCAGTCACGTGCAAACTTCCAGGTAGCAGCAAAAGTCATGAGAATTATTTTTTCTCTGGTAAAGAGGTAATAAACCCCCACTGGACACTAAAGGGCAAAGTCTTCAATCAGGCACCTGAATCCATCCCTTTCTCAACTATCCCAACAGCCCCAGGGCTGAGCACCCTGCAGCTCCTGGTCCCAGTGGCCTGACAACACCAGAGCACATGCACCCTCCACCAGCCTGGGTAGCTCTGCCCATAGAGTACAAGAACCTCCTGCTCAGGTGAAGAGGACAATAGATGTGGTGTTGGTGGTGGACTGACACTGGGGCAGGTTGGGATTTTTAGCACCTCCCATGCTTTCTTCAAAGCTGGAGGAGGATGCCTGCAGCAGGCTCCAGCTTGTGTTGGAGAGACCTCCCCTGTCCTGACCACTTTTTCCAAGCTCACATCCCAGCAAAGCTACTAGTTCTGGCACGAAGCTTAGGGAAGGGGGCAAAGCAGGACATGGCACAAGGACAAAGGTCTCAAGATGGAGCCAAGTGGACATCCTTGCTTCCTGGTAGAGACCACAGCAAGTCACTTTAACCTTATCCAAATGAGCCTAATTTGTCTGCCAGATGCCTCCATGCCAGCAGGTGCCAGCCTCAGTAATTCACCTCTCTGATAACCTCTCTCCAACCCATATGGCAACACTTCAAAGGCTCCTACCTTCATGGACCCAACAGCAAGACCCAAATAGCTTTTCAAAAGTAATGCTCAATAAATAGAAGAAATAAATATTAAATAGAGGCTGAGTCCTCTCAGCCTGTTCAATATATGTACAATGCATAGCAAAAGAACAGTGATTGGCTGTTGCAGACAGGTTTGGTACAACTTCAGTCCCCCCAAAACAAGAAAAGCTTTGACAAATGTTGCAGTCAACATAAAGATCAACAGAGTGCTATAACCCGTGAGGAAAAGAAAGAACATGACAGTGCTTTGAAATATCCCTTGTCTTTGCTTTCCAGCAAACCTGCAGAGATTGTGCTGGGTTTTTCAGAGCCTGGCCCCAGTGCTGGGGTTAGGAGAGGAGGGAGAAGCCTTGTTTGGTGTGACAAGGCAGGTCCAAGGAGTGGGGAGAGCCAACAGCATGAGTCCAGGGTCAGGGAGATGTTTGCATCTCTTGTGCAGCCAGCTGCAGGTGAGCAGCAATTCACCTACACCAAAATGACCAAGCTGCCTTTCCACCAGGTGAATCCTGCTCTTTTCAGAGGGTGCCAGCAGCCATCCCAGATGCCAGACAGGGAGCAAAGATCCATAAAAGCAATGGATGTACAAAACAAACATTAAAAAAATCACAACAAAACAAACAGCGCTGGCAAAAGGCACAGAGACAGAAAAGCTCATGGGCTTCTTGCAAACCAATGGAGAACTCAGTAGTCCAATGACAAGAGGGTGATGCTCCTGGTTGTACTAAAAATCATAAATAAGTTAAAAAATAAATACCACCACTGGGGGAAATTCCTGTGTATATGCACACGTGCACACACACACACACACACAGACTCGGTTAGGTCCTGTCACCAGAGGCTGGATGTCGCAAGTATCTTCAGCACGACTCACTCTCTCACGGTCCCATTTCCTTAGTTTTTTTTCCATGGGTGGGTCACTGTGCGGCGATAAACACGGCAGGGGAGCCCTAGCGACCGCATCCTCCCCGGAGAGCAGCGCTGCCTCTGCCCTGCCGCTCGGTTTCGGGTTGTGCGGCGGCTGCGGAGCCGAGGGCAGCGGCGGCGGCGCCAGCGGGAGCCCCGCCGGCACCGAGCGGGGCCACATGCCCCCTGCAGCGCTGCAGACACCCCATCGCTCGGCTGGCAGCGAGCAGACCCTCCCTGTCACCTCCGTGAGGTCCTAGACCCATCGCTCTGGTGACATCCATGGGTTTTTTTTACGCAGATCTAGCGAGAAATCCGAGATTCTAACATGAGAACAGACGAGCTGCCCCGCATCCCTGCGTCCATCACGCTGCCCTGCTCGGGAGAGCACGGCTGAAGGGACACGTCTGGCAGCAGGAGTGACAGTCACTCCTCCAGTCACCTCGCTGAGAGGGACCAGCACTGTAAACCTTCACACCAGAACAGTGACACGGATACATTCAAGCAAACAAACAGATCAAAAAATAACTTAAAAAAATAAAAATAAAAATAAATACTGGTAAGGGTGACCACCTGCATCCATTCTGACACACCATTAAAAATAGAAGAATAAATAAATAAATACATAAATAAATAACGAAGGGGGTTACTCTGACAATTCCACAGGGGAAACCCCAGGAGTGCTGAGCTGCCACGGGCTGTGCAAGCAGAGCAGCCCTGGGAGCCACTGTCAGTCCCTGCCAGCTCAGAGCCACCTCCTGTCCCCACGATGCTGCCCTGATGTGCTGCTTTGATCATCCATCCCCAGCCACAGGGAACTCGAGTCAGTGTTGTGGTTTGGTATTTACACCAGTTGCACCAAGTCCCTCTTCTTTTCTTTCCTAGTTTCTGAGCCCCCAGCTGGCTGCTTCCTTGCTACAGATGCGTGTGCTTTAGGGGGTGTTAAGGGGTGTGAGGCCACTCTCCAAACACTGGTGGATCTGGGGCTTGAGCTCCCATTGCTGCCTTTGGGTCTTCCTGGGGAGCAGGAGGACAGGGAGTTTTAGCATCAAATTGGGAGAGACTCTTTGGGGCAGAAGTGTGAGGTTTTCAGCCCTTTAAGAGAAGGGAGCTCACTGCAGGAGATGGCCAAGGGGCTGCTGTCAGGGCCAGGGCAGGAGGGAAGGCAGGGGCACCCCAGTTCTCACCCTGCTGAAAGAACAACCCATCCTGTAGCCCTCAATCACAGACCTAAAGCCTCTGCTCAGCCCTGCCAGGAATGTTCTTCTCTATGTCCTAGGAAGTGGCTTCCCAAGAGATGGACACATGTCCCCAGCAAGCCCCTGACCCCACCAGTGCCCAGCTCTCTACTCCAGCCACCCTCATCCTCGAATAATCTACAGAGAGCAAGGCAGAGGGTGAGGGACTGGGAAAAAGGGAGCTTTGGGGGTTGAAGGCACAGGATGAGGGGGACTAGCAGTAGGAACGATACTGGAAAAACGGGACTCCTGGCATTAATCTTCCCTCTGTACCACCCAGGTGGAAACAGCCCCCACACTACTATACTTTCCAGCAGGTAACAGGTTTATATGCTTGCTAGGGTACCACATGGCCCCGGCCTTACTCCACTCATGGCTTTACCCTTTCACCTGCTGCCAGAGGGACTAGGGGGCTGTAGGTAACTCTTTACCTGGGGGTGGTTCACTTCTTTCTACTCCCTCTCCTCCTCCAGCACACGCTGGTTCCACTTAGCCCTTTTCTGTGACACTTAAAATGACACACCTCCTTGACTCATTAAGCCCAAACTTGTTAATAATCATACAGGATGGAAGGGGAGGGGATGGAAAAAGAGAGGGAGGGAAGTCTTAAGCCCAAATTAGCGTCTCTAAGCACTCAGGTGTTGTAAGAGAAAGAAACTCCTCAGCACCAGCTCAGCCTGTGCTGGGAGAAACTTTTGTTACCCTGCAACACACACTAATTGCACAGGCAGCCGGACTGGCAGGGAGACAAAACCCCAGGGCTGCCCAGGCAGGCAGGGCCCTTTTGGCTGCTTGTGGCTGCCTGCACAAACATGCATTTGGGGGTGGGCCCTGTCCCCCCTGCACAGCTCTGTCCTCCCAGCCAAAAACTGGGGTGCAAGTGCATCTGCCCCAGCTTGGTGTGGGCCCCGTGAAGGGGCTGCTAGTCCTGCCTCAGGGGAACCTGAGGGTCTCGAGGAGAAATTACTTCCTGAAATCCTCCTGGCACTGCTCTAAAATTGCTGCCCCTGTACCCCAGCTCTGTCCTCCCAGCCAAAAACTGGGGTGCAAGTGCATCTGCCCCAGCTTGGTGTGCGCCCCGTGAAGGGGCTGCTGGGGCTGCTAGTCCTGCCTCAGGGGAACCTGAGGGTCTCGAGGAGAAATTACTTCCTGAAATCCTCCTATCCTCCTGGCACTGCTCTAAAATTGCTGCCCCTGTACCCCACCATATCTGCTGCAGACCTCAGAAGTCTGTTCACAAGCAGGTCACAGTGCTGGGGGGGATAAGACAACCCTGTGAAAGGTGATGCTTACCTGGTAGGAAAGGGCAGGAGAAAGGAGGAAATGGCCTTCTTTTTTCCCTAGGAATTATGTCAGGAAGGATTTCTAGCCTTCTATTTATAGCAGGGACTGGCTGACTGGCACTGCAGAGTGGGCAGAAACTCTGGAGGAGAGACCCAAGGGACCTGATATTTGCCTTGATGGGGACAGGTCATCCCCACTCACCATCAAAGCTTCCCAGCAAATTCCTAACTGGATCTCTCCCTCTGACAGAAAGCAATTTGCTGGCTCTTGTTATTGCAGACGAGCAAGGAGCTGAATTCTTTCCTTTGGACCAGCTGGTAGAGCTTTGGAGAGCAGCAGTGATGGGGTGACAGGGATGTCAGGGAGGATGGAGCAGGTCTGTCGTGACAAACCCTCCGTGAAGCACCGACGCATCTCCCAGCCCTGGCCTGGGGATCTGGGATGGATCCACTCACTCCACGGGTCAGCAAAGGGGCTGCGCTGGGCGCACGGGGCGGGGAAGGGGGACCCGGCACTGCCACCACATCAGTATCGAGGATGATCGCTATCGATGGCCAGGGAGGTGGGAAGGATGCGGAGAACGCCAGGAATTCGGAGGTGACGAGCAGGCGGCACTCCCTAGCGACCCAGGCTGTCGGAGCTGCCTCCTGAGTCATCCCAGCTCCTGCTCCTGCTGCGGCTGCTCCTGGGGCCCGAGCTCCGGCTGCGGCTCCTGCTCCCCGCGCTGCTGCTGCTCCCGCTCCGGCTCCGGCTTGTCCGGTAGCTGGAGTAGCTCCGGCTCCGGGAGCGGCTGAAGCTGCTGTACCAGGAGGAATAGCTGCTGGCGCTGCTGGAGGAGGAGGAGGGACTGGGGCGGTAGTAGGGGATGGGGCGCTTGCGGGCGCTGTGAAAGAGAGAGGTGTGTGTTTCAGCAGCAGCACAGGGACAGACTTACTGCCGCGGTATCCAAAAACACCACTGCTCGCTCTGCTCAACACTCTCAAAAAAATTTCATTGTGTTTATTTAAAAGAAAAAGAGATGAGGTAACTGACTGGCCTCGGGATTCAAACCACCCACCCCCAGGGCCTTGGGGAACGTCCCGGGCACCAAGTCTGAGGCTGAGCTCTGCCTGGTGGCCCAGAGAGCTCTCTGCAGGGTGGGATACCTACCGCAGGAGAGGGTGAAACAAAAGGTCTGCAGGGGGATGTTCCCGGTAACTGCCGGGTGAGTCCCTGCTCCGACTTCATCGGCCTTTTCTCCGTGTTGTAAATGAGACGCCCCCTCCCGCATCCTCGCTTTGCCTCTAAGTCCCCAAGCTCTAGGAGGGGCAGAAGGACCTCCTGATCAAGCTGAGGGCAACGAGCCTTTTCCTGGAGCAACCTCCGCTGGTGAGGGCTGGGACCCAAGGGCTGTGCCCATGTCCCTCCAGGAAGCACTGGCTGAGCTTGTCTCCCAAGGACGGGGCCAGGCCCGCTTACCTGGTGATGCGCCGAGCTTCCAGGTGGCTGGGAGAGTCTCTCCTGCGCTTCCTCAGCGGGGAGTACGAGCGGCGCCGCCGGCGGTCGCGCTCCCTGTGGGACTCCTTCTCGCTGGAGCCGTGCTTGTGCTCTCGCTCGTGGTCCCTGGGAAAGGCACAGGTCGGGAACTGTCACTGCTGGCTTTTTGTGGGGCGGGTTTTGGATGCGGAGGCCACGACCCGTGAAGGCACAGGTGAGCAGAGGGCACTTAGCTTCAAAAGGGATCTCAAACCACCCACCCCCAGGGCCTTGGGGAACGTCCCGGGCACCAAGTCTGAGGCTGAGCTCTGCCTGGTGGCCCAGAGAGCTCTCTGCAGGGTGGGATACCTACCGCAGGAGAGGGTGAAACAAAAGGTCTGCAGGGGGATGTTCCCGGTAACTGCCGGGTGAGTCCCTGCTCCGACTTCATCGGCCTTTTCTCCGTGTTGTAAATGAGACGCCCCCTCCCGCATCCTCCCTTTGCCTCTAAGTCCCCAAGCTCTAGGAGGGGCAGAAGGACCTCCTGATCAAGCTGAGGGCAACGAGCCTTTTCCTGGAGCAACCTCCGCTGGTGAGGGCAGGGACCCAAGGGCTGTGCCCATGTCCCTCCAGGAAGCACTGGCTGAGCTTGTCTCCCAAGGACGGGGCCAGGCCCGCTTACCTGGTGATGCGCCGAGCTTCCAGGTGGCTGGGAGAGTCTCTCCTGCGCTTCCTCAGCGGGGAGTACGAGCGGCGCCGCCGGCGGTCGCGCTCCCTGTGGGACTCCTTCTCGCTGGAGCCGTGCTTGTGCTCTCGCTCGTGGTCCCTGGGAAAGGCACAGGTCGGGAACTGTCACTGCTGGCTTTTTGTGGGGCGGGTTTTGGATGCGGAGGCCACGACCCGTGAAGGCACAGGTGAGCAGAGGGCACTTAGCTTCAAAAGGGATCACTGTAAGTGAAGTGCTGTGGGGGCATCAGCCACGGATGTGGCTGGACAGACAAGACACCCACAAATTGGGTCTGGGGGTTTCAGCAGTGTCTCCTGGCAGCCCCGTGCTGCCGAGTTAAGATGGCTTCCATGTACCTGTGTCTGTGGTTGCACTCTGTATTTAGCTCTCTAAAATTGCTTTTGCTGGCCATGCTGCAGAAGCAGATGAGAACAACCCTGCCAGCAGGCCTCACGTGAGCAGAGGGCCCCCAGTACCCCTGCAGGGCCATGCAGCCCTGCACAGCTTGCCAGAGGGAGTGCCGGCGTTGCTATGGTTTTATCCTTTGTTAAATTCCCATACACGTCAGCACAGGCCCTTCTGTGGAGTGTAGCTGACTTCATCCAACCTGCTCAATACCATCTGCAAAACAATATGTTACAGGTCAAGTGCCTGATCCTTGCACGCAGGAAATATTCTCCTACGCCAGTGCAGGGATTGTCAAAGCCTGCAAGAATCAGACCATGGGAATGTTAACATTTTAAGGGTGCAAAATGTTCCCAGCAGCAGAGATGTTACCAGAAAAACCTGCCCAAAGGCATCTAGGACTGAGCTGTGAGATGGCTGTTTTCTATGGGGTGTGGAGAGATTGCATCTTCCCCTGCAAGGCTGGCTGAGTGCCAGCATGAGGGTACCAGGCATCTGCCCATGCAGTAGGGATGCTTCCTGGGGCCTGAAAACTCTGGAAGAATTAAAAAGCAGTGCCTTTCTCTTCTGCAGTGAGATCCCTCTCTGACAAGGGCTGCAGCCCTGCTGCAGGGGCTGCTGGCTGGGGTGGGCTCCTTGGGTGATGAACACTCTGGGCAGACCCAACTGGAGCCTGGTGCTCTGCCCACCAGCACAACAGAGAGGGGCTCTCCCTGGGTTTTCCTGTGAGACATCTTCCCTTCACATCAGGCCCTGCCAGACACCACTGAGCAGCCATCTGTGCACTCTTGGCTCCATAGTGTCCCTCGCAACAGCTTGGAGCAGAGGAACAGCCACTTTGCATGCCACACGCTCTGACTGTGAGGTGCCATGATGCTTCAAAGCCAGGGATAATCCAGATCTCCCTCCCAGCAACCTGCTCCCAAAAGTGCTTTGTGTGAAATTGTCCCATGCCAGTGCAAGGCATCCTTGGCCATAAGTCATGTGGTTTTCCCACAGGCAGTGAAAAGCTCATCTCTGGGCTCTTCCCTCTGCAACCAGCACCTGCTCTGGGGCAACAAATGGCAAGGAACTTCCAGTGGATTGAGGGCCAACATCACATACAGCCATATACCTCACCCTGGGTACCCTGCTCCCTCTCACGCTGGTGCCGAGGACCAAAGCACCCAGTGAGGAAGCTGAGGGAGCAGTTTGGGGCTGGCAGGAGCCAGCAAGTGTGCTGGAACCCAAGCAGGTGATGGACGCAGTGGGAAAACATGAGACAGCAAATATCACATGAAGAGACAGCCATACCTGCTAGGGCTGTAGCGGGAGTAACTGGGGCTCCGACGGGGCCTTGAACTCCTGCTCCCAGGACTTTTTTTGCAGGATATGGAGGAATAGCTGGGGGAACGTGAAGAAGACCTGGGAATAGACAAGAACCATAGAAAAGTTAAAGATGGGGGAGGGTGGGACTGTACCAGACTCCTCTGGATCTGGGCTCCTGTGAGGAAGAGATGCCCATTATTTTAAGGCCTGGGACCAGCTCTGTGTGGCCAGTTCATCCCAAGCCATGTGCATCCCTAGGCACCTCTCAAACTCCTACCCCTCCTCCTGCAAGGAGTCTGCAAGCCTGCAAGAGTTAGACATTGGCCAGGATCACAGAGAGAGCAGTAAAACAGCTAAAAGCTGGCCTTACCTTTTCTCTGAAGAGCAGGACCTGCTTCGGGAGTACTTGGGAGAGTCCTTGTGGTGTGAGGAGCTGGAGTGGCTGGAACGGCTGGAGCCGGGGGAGGATCTCCCGGTGCTGGTGTAGGACTCGCTGCGGGAACACGGCCGCAGAGGGGAGCTGTGGGCTGGGGACGGGACGGCGTTTCCCTTCTTCTCCTCTGGACAGCTGAGACACAAGGACAGGCACCCTCTGTGAACGTGTATTTGGACAGTCATTGAAGCTATGGCTGAACTGGGACTGGTCCCTGGTTGAGGGGAGCACCACACTCCAGCCAACAAGCACTCCCATCCTCCCATTCCCCACCTGGGGATAAAGATCTCTTGGCTCCCCAGGCTGCTGTTACAGAGACCCCATGTGTGTGGGTCAGAGCCCAGGAGCTCACCCTCTACGCTGTGGAAGAGAGGGCAGTTCTTATGTCACGCCTGACACACCAGAGGTGTCTGGCTGGCAGAGCCTAGGACAGGCCAGTGAGGAGCAAGGTGAGAAGAGCTGGAGGAAAAGGAAAGCCAGAGAGTGGCAAGCAAGGGCCTGTGCTCCAGCCTGGGCATGGAGCAGCATGATCAGGCACGTCTTGTTGCCTTTGGACAGGGCTGTGTGAATTCCTCTGCTTCTAGAAGTGCCCTGGCTATGAATCAAGGTTAGAGCCCAGTAGTGAGGCATCCTCCCAACAACCAGGGCCAGCTGCAATCCCAGCTCCACCCATGGGAAGGCAGAGCTATCCCACTGGAGTCACAATGTGAAAGTGTAACACAACCCTAAACTTTCACACTGACTGAAAATCGAGGGCTTGTTCTTCCTAACACTAATTCCTGCCTCTCTCTTGTCTCTCATTCAGTGCTCCCACCCCCAGAACACATCCTGGCTCTAACTCCCAGCATTTAAGATGTGAAGGCCTGAGCTGGAAGAGCTCCCTAACTCCAATGCCCGAGCACAGCCTGGGAAGCAGCCACCACATTCCAGTGCCTTCACCCCAACAGCACATGGCAAACCCCCAGGCCTGGGAGGCAGTGATGGAGGCTGCATCTGCTCCTCTCTCCTGATGGTGACCTGTGGCACCAGATGCTGATTTGACTCCCAACCCCAGTGGCCCAGCACACAGAGCTGCTGTGAAGGGCACCTGCCCTTCCCTGTGCTCCCCACCTGCAAGAGATGCTATCTTGTCACCCAGGACCAGTCCAGAATGAGCTGAGAAAGGGAAGGATGGATTTGGCTCATTGGACAGGTGAAAGAACAGCCCATAATTGTTTTAGCAAAAATGAACCCTGCTACCCTTCCCCACAGTAAGAGAAGGGGAGAATTAGCACAACAATCCCTTGATGCACCTTTCCAGACTTTGCCTAGAGGGCCAGAGGCTTTTTTCTTTGACACTGTCGTGCCCAGCTGAGCAGGGCTGTGTCAGGACACAGCTCAGCCTAGGGCCAAACCCTGCATTTAGCCACATTAATGCCAGAAGAGCTAACACAGGCAATGTCCAGGGGTGTGATGGCTGGGTTTGCGTCTTCCTCCTCAGGCTAGTGTTGGTCACTGTGGGGTTGTGGACTCCTGGCTAGCAACACTGTGGGTCTGATTTATATCTAACTGCCTCCAGACTACAAAAACCTCCTTGCCAGCTCACCCCTGCTGCTGGTGAGTGGGCAGGAGATACAGAGCAACAACCTATTTGGCTGCCAGCAGCAGCTACTGGTAATTACTGACCTTCGGTCTTGTCCTTGGGCATCTGGAGACAGGTTTTCCAAAGCTGTTCCGTTGGTCTGGGAAAAGCAACTGGTGAAGGAATTTCCTGAATCAGAGCTGTTATCACTGTTGGCCAGTTTGGGCTTCCCAGATGAGAAGGCATGGCCAAAGCCATCATGGACTAGACTTCTTTTCTCCTGGCTGTCCTTTGACCTGGATGAGCTGGTTTGAGTGGAGGGAGGGGAGGAAGTATCGTTTCCTGAGTCATATTCATGATACTCTCCATTCTGCCTGGGTAGGTTGCCAGGCGAGCTGTCTGTTTTGGTTAAGAGGTCAGCAGAAGACCCTGACTGAGAGATCTGAAAGCAAAAAAGCCATTTGGCATTGTTTGAATAGGGTTTTTTTGAGGGGGTGGTTTTGGTTTTACTTTGCTTTTTCTTTTTTTTTTTAAATAAACTCAGAAATGTTACCATCATGATGCACTGAAACGAAAGAAAGTAAGAAAGAAAGAAAGAAAGAAAAAAGAAGAAAGAGGAGAAGAAAACAAAAGCACATAGCCCTAAAGAAATCCACAGTAAGAAGAAACTTCTTTTCCCCCTGCTATGATAATGGGAAGATTCAGAGATCATGCAAAGAGTATCAGCATGCAAATCATGTTAAACAGAAGAGTTCAACAACATAAATGGGCAACCAAAGGATCAAAATAACTAACTAAATAAAAAATGTGTAACAGAGGACAAAGCCCTTGTTTAACCTTAGAGGGGGAGGAAAAAAAAAAAAGGAATATACATATAAAAACCCTACGTAATCCTTAGAAAGAAAACAAAAAGGAAACAAAATCTTAAATGAGTGAATTTTTTAAGCTGCCTTAATAAAGAGGCTGAATGAATGCCACTAAAATAAGCAAAGAAAAAATAAAATCAAACCAAATTAAGGGCTTCTGTACAAAGTAAAAACTAGCAAATAAACAAGCTTATCATTTTGAAAAAAAAAAAAAAAAGAAAAAAAAAGAAAAAGGGGGGAGGGGAAAAAAAGAAAAAATCCCTCTGGAAATAAAAGGTATAGAGATACTTCTTTGTGTGCTTTTTTCCCCCTGAAGAAGATATAGTTAATGCTCTCGAGTGACCTCTAATAAATTCCCTGGTGTCTTGCGGATCCACTTACCCATCAAGAACTCCTCCTTGCGGGCAACATAAGTCCATCATTAGAGTCTCAAATTACATGAAAAAAACATAAACCCTCTCTTCAATCCACACTGCCAACTGATTCCTCGCCTCCTCTATGCAAATGTCATGCCTGCTTGTCTCGCTTAGTATTCATTTTTTGTTTCCTTCTTCTGCTTTAAATGAGGCTGTCCAGCCTGTTCCTGGAGGCTGGTTGCTTGTGCTGAACAGTCGCAGCTTGCACTAAATCCCCTTGGGTTTCATGGAAGTGAAAGATGGAACTCAAGTGAGAGAAGTAAAAAACTAGAGGAGGTAAAATATCCCCCCTCTGTGCCCTGTTGGAGACTTATTCTATTGGAGACCTGATTACCCCTCTGTTGGGGAAGGGGATGAGAGTTCTGCACCTGCCAGCCTCTGTGTGGGGGGTTTAACCACACCCTGGCTGGGTCTTGGTGGGTTGCTGAACTTGATGAGGTCAGGAAGGACCCCAAACCCCAAACACTAGCTGCCCTGGGCACAGCTGTTGTCTGGGACCCCGAGCACTACCAAGGGGATTTACCTCATTTGAGTATTTTGTAGTTCAGTTTTAACCCCACTGGCATTTGCCTGAGCTAGTCAGGAATGTCCCAGTGCTGGGAGTGAGGCTACATCAGTCTAATGTCTGCCCTCAAAATGGGGTGAGAATTAGGGCCAAATGAGGACCCAGCACATCTGCACTCTGTGTGGCCTCCTCTTTCACTCAGATGCTCTGCTCTCCTCATTCCCACCTGTAAGGTTTGGTCCAGGGTCCTTAGAGTGTGGATACACATATTTGATTCCCAAGGCTCAGGATAGTCCTCCAATGCAATCCCAACAAGCTCTGCTCCCCCAAACAGCTGCCTCTGTCCTCATGCCCTGCTCTGGGACATGCAATGCCTTCCCTCTACACCACAGTCTCCTGGACACCTGGGCCATGCCCTCACATGTCTGGGGAGTTCCAAGCTGAGAAAACCATATTGCAATGCTGGTAATATCTCAGGGAGCAGAGGAGACCTGGATCAGTTGTCACACAGCAGGGCCAGCCCCTTTGGAGACCTTTGCCCTGGACTGACTGGCATGGGTATATGGCTCCTCATCCACAGAGGGACTACAGGCCCAGCCTCAGTCACTTTTTACATGGAGCTCCTTCATCCATGGAGGTCCATCCCATCAGATGGTGCCTTCATATCCACCCCCCCTGCCTGTAACATCTGCTCTGTGTCTTCACAGGGGGGTTGCTCTCAATCTAATTCAAGAGGTACTAACTGGGACAGCTGACTCAGACACAAGTGCTGACCCAGTAGTGACTGAAACCAGAGTGAAGCTATCAGCACACAGAGCAGCTCCCAACACACCATCCTGGGCATGATGACTGCCCACAACAACCTCATGCTCTGAAAACACCTGGAGTTGGAGGATCTCCAAGTACTTCCTATGTTGCCAGAGAAAGAGGCATTACTGCTCCTGGGATAATGGACAGAAGAATAGAAATTAGTTCAGCCCAGCAAATCCACACTGGAGGTGAAGACTCCCCCTTCCCTAGAAATACTGATTTCTAAGCCCTGCTCAGTCCTAACTTGGAGGCATCAGGAGCTCCAACAGCCAGACATAAAAAATGAGGTGATTCTTCTTCACTAGACAACTTGCACCTTCAACACAGAAGCCCTGGACAGGCCAGTAACAACTCCTAGATGTTCCTAACTAGAAGCAAGTGAAGACATACATCACAAGTCCTCATTTCAGCACCTGGTGCTGCTCCTTGCTGCTTCTCAGCTCTAGCACTTCTTTACATGTCCTTGTTTCTTGCAGTAGAAACTGGAATATCAAAGGAGCATAAGAGACCCAGGTAATCACCTCTGGTTTTCACCATTTCTGAAACTCCTATAGAACTGACCTTCTTGCTATGAACCACCATGCTCTCCCCAGCCACATCTCATAAGACACAAGTTTACACTTTTAAGTATGGCATCAGAGTATTTTTTTCAAAAGCTGGGTTATGGGTTGCATTAGATCTGAACCCTAACCAGCTTTTGACCACTTTTCATTTACAGGCATAAAAACACGACATGAGAACCTCTGGCTACAGAGGTGAGAAAGGCCTGGAACAGGTCCAGGTCTGCTCTGAGGGACAGTGACCCCAGCATCACACAAGCAAACACCTCACATCTGTTCCCTCCCCATCAAAACCAAAAGGCTTTTACTTCTGCCAAGAAACACAGCAGTTTCTTGGCTTTTCTAAAACAACTTTTAGGGCTGGTGCTAGGACCTGGGATGTTTGCTCTTGCTTTGCCTTCTCTGAAGTCTACCTGCAAAGCAGCAGCTGTTGTCAGCACATCACAGAATCTGTCAGATGATAGGGAGGGATCAGCAAGCTCACCATCTGTGGTAGCAGCACTCTGGGAAGAGGCAACATGTGGATCTTGGTGAAATCTGGAGGAGCCCAACAGCCCTTGTGAGGGCTGGAGGGTCTGGCCTGGGCAAGGCAGGTGCTAAAAGGGAGGGACAGCAGCTTCCCAGCCCCACCACCTCGAGCTACCAGGCTGTCACCAGAAGCTTCCTGCAGGCTCCAAGGAGATTTGTGTCCTGGGACAAGAGCCAGAACAAATCTCAAGATGCTTGACTCGCCTATCTGCTTGGAGACAATTTCCCCATCTGACAATCTTGGCTTTGCTTCTGGTCCCACTTTACTGCTTCTGAAAGACACACCAGCCACATGAGATGGCAACTGAGCATCACATCAGAAAACACTGTGCAGAGCTCCACTGAATTCTAATGGCTGGTTATTTTTCTACGGTGCCATAAAAAGAGTCTGCTCTTTCATGAATCTAATTTTCTCTGTGCCAACATTTGGATTCTGTCCCGCTCTAGTAAGTAATTAAATAATCTCAGTGAACTTTGCTTCCTCCAGCTTTCAGCAGGGGACCTACAGCTGCCCTCAAGGGAAACCAAGATATATATTTATTGGATTTTTTTTTGTTTCAAATCATTATTTAATCAAGATGAAGGGAGAACAGAAATGAAGCTTTTGCTCCTACTTCAGACTGCAATTTTGGGTGTGATCCTAGACCAAGAGGCAGTGTCATCTCATAGGTTACAAAAATACAATCACTGCTCGTCTTCCAATTAAACTGAACAAGTCTATTTACTCTGCTGCAAGCAGCTTTGGGACAAAAGATGTCTATACATTTTCTCAGCTATAAGGGGACCCAAACCCATCCACAAGCAGCTTGGCCAAGCCTCACTTGCAGTTGCAGGTTTTCTTTCTTGTTGTTTTTTTGGTTTTGTTTTTTTTTTAACTCTTGTTTTGCAACTCACTTTGGAGTTAATCTTATTTTTTTTCTCAGAGGTGCATAATGTCTCCTTTTCTCTATTTTTCTGGGCATTGTAGTAATGAAAGGAATAAAAAAGATGTGTCAATGACCCATCAAGCCTTGCTCTCAGTGAGGGCTTGGCAGACAGATGCTGAGAAGCTGCTGGGGTGGGGAGCAGCACCTGCTGAGGGGGGCTGCTCAGGGGAGGCCTCCATCTCCCACACCTGGGGGGGGAAGCCTTTCCTGGGGGATTTGCCCCTGTTGAAAAAAACAACCTTTTGGTAAGGGTGGACAAAAATAGTGGTGCTGGAGAAACAGAAATACCTTCCCCCCACAATTATGAATCTCCAATATGAGGAAAATTGAGTGGAAAGTATGTTTTTGTTTGCTAGGTGGGGAGTTGAAGATGAGGTTCTCTCTACCACAGGGGCTAAGTCCAGGAGCACAGAGGCAATGACACAACTGTCCCTGTGAGGTCAGAGTTTGGGTTATTTGGGGCTGGAGAAAACACTGCTGAGCAGCCCGGCTCACAGACCCATGAATGGGGGTAAATTCCTGACAATGCCAGGCAAAGGTCTGTTCCTTTGCAAAGATCTTTTCAGCCTGCTGGGGTGCAGCCAGTATTGTGTGACAGGCCAGTATGTCCCCAGCTCAGCTTGGGCCAGGCTGGCACTGCTTTGGAGCAAGGATTTGCTTCCCACCACCTCCCCTGGTACCTGGTGTACAACTCTCCCATTGCTGCAGGCATCCCTCCTCACCCCAGGCTGCTGGCCTGTGCTCCCAGCTCTGAGCTGCAAATCTATCAGACAATAACCAGGGGTAACCTCAGTCCCCTGGCTAGGAAGGGGGAAAAGTAAAAGCAAAAAGAAAAGACTTCCCATACTTATAGAAGGCTTTGCCTGTCTGCTCATCAAGGTCCCTCTTTGTTTTCAGAAAAACTGCTGCCTAACGGTGAAAATAACTTTTCCTATGTAAACCAAAACCCAGGCTAGAGAAGTGAACAGCAAGCCAATACACAGATCTGGTATAAGGTTCCCTCCTGCACATGCTGCCCCAGCCCCTGCACAGTATCTCCTCACTTCTGCTCCTCTGCAGACACACGAGCACAAACAGCATCATTTGGAACAACCAGACCCCACTGAGCCTCACTGAAAATCTGGCTCAAGCCTTGTTAATTTGTGACATAGTAAACGAGCTTCAGTGGAATCAAAGGAGCTGGCAAGAAGAGTGTGCAGTGTGCAGTTATCTTCATCATGTACAGCAAAGGCAATTAGATTCATACCCTGCAGTTACTTAGATTGCACAGTGGCACAGAATACAGCTGTATCCGTGTGGAATAAACTGTCTGCAGCAGGTTGGGGGTATATTCTGTTCAAAAGCAGATGCTGCATATCACCCACAGTCTCTCTGCATGCTGAGGCACAGCCCCACAATCCTGCACTCAACAGGTGGCTATTGCGGCTGCAAGGGCTAAAAGGGAAAATGAGAGGGAGCAGCTTGGAAATTTACTGCCAAAAAAGAAAAGTAGCAGGGAACTTTGGGGTGTTTCTGCACGTGTGCATGCGTGTGCGTGCACCAGCTGAGGCATAAAGGCAAGGGGGAGAGAAGCAGCAAGGCAGGTGCATGGGCAGGGTCTTCTTTTGGATGCTTTATCCCCTCACAAATTACAGGTAGACCTAGTTAGAAAATGTGGCTGGTTCCAGCAGAAAGGAAAATAAACTGGAAATAGCAGAATTTGCCACAAAATACTTCTCTCCGGGTCTTGCCTGTAGATTGGGATCCTCCCTGGACAATCCCTTTCCTCTGGAGATATGACAATGCATCTCTCCAGTTTGGCTTGGAAGCCAAGGGCAGAAGGACACACCAGCCCCCACAGAAGACTGAAACGTGGCATTTTTAAACCCAGTCCTGGATTTTTCCACAAAAGCTGTTTTTTTCCAGTAATTTATTTTTAATAAGTGATCAACATTTTCTGGAAGAGCACATTTTTGTTTCATAACATATCCAGGCTGCTCTCAAAGTAGGTTCTGACAGAACTGAGCTTATTTATAGAGCACCCATTTAACTCTCAAAAAAAGAGGCATCAAAGAATTGTGTACAGTCATTAATAAATGAGACTAGAAGTTCCCATTCCATTTTTTCCCTTGCCAGTTATGAGTACATGATATTTAATTACTTCATTCAGAAAAAATCCAGGGGCAGCACTTAACTAGGGGCTTCCTTTTAAACAAGTGTTTAAATATGCTCTTGAAGGATGTCCCAACAGAGTGCACCTTTTTTTTTGGGAACAAAAGGACATTAGTGGATTGTGTAGTACAGGTACTGAGGCCTTTTAATAATTGAAATATTTGCCTGTGTTATAAACTCTTACTAGAAGCAGTGCAACAGGGGTCTGATTACTTTTACTTTGCATCCATTCCCTCCATCTGTAACTGTAAAGCTCTGATTTTCCCTGCCCTGCAGCTTGTGTGCTCATTTACTTTGAGTGAAGCAAGTGGAAAGGGGAGTGCAGCATGCTTGAGTTTATCTCATTTTAAAGCTTTTACAATTTTATATTAGTTTACTCTTGCTCAGGGAACAGAACAGCTGGCAGTCGGCCTCACAGGACTCAAGGAACCTGCTTTCAGAGAGAGGAAACCTAGTACCAATTACAAACCAGGCTTAGACTTGAAAACATTTATGTAAATAATGTGGCTCGAATTAAAAACAAACAAACAAAAAGCCCCAATCAACGAATCCTGGTGACACAATGCAGTCTTTGGCTGGTTGTTTTTTTGGGAGGAGCTCTGAACTCATTCCTACCTTCTCAAGTTGACAGAGGGCAACACCCCAGGCTTGTGGCAATGAAAGTTTCATAGCTTGTTATTCTTTCTTTGCATGAGCACACACACATCCAAGCCTGGTGTGCAGCTTCTGCTGTTCACCCTCTACCTTATATGGTTTTATAAGCAGTGACTCATGTGCACTACATGCTCAGGAGTTGTATATAACAAGAGCAAATATGCATATCTATCATGTTGAGAGACAGCTTGTGCCTGTCTGCACCCACGTATCATCTCTGTGTATTTTGATGGGAATGCTGTCTGCGTGGGTGTCTCCTCTTGCTGGCACTATCTCATATCTGATGTATCTGCTGCATATGGCTGAGTATTTCTGACTGATGACTGGGCCTTAAACAGAAAATAATTTCCCTTTTACATATCACTTTGGGGCTTTGAGGACTCAAATGTTACTCATCCACACGAGTACCAGATTTTGCACTACCTTGAGCCCTATGTAGCAGTTTATCTCCCCAGAATGCCTATCAGATACAAACACGGTGATCAAAGAGCATCACACCACTGCTTTGCAGCTACTGGGAACAAAGGGGAAGTGTGCCATGGGAAAGGAAGACTTCCTATCAATTTGTATCTAATATTCCTTTCCATCTTTTGCTCCCTCACTTCTAAGGCATGCATTGTATCATCTCTTTCTGTGTATATGGAAAAACATCCCAAGGCACTGAGCCTGATTTTACCCTCAGCTGCACATGCAGTTCCCATTAGCATCACTGAGAGCTGCTCGTAAGTCCCAATTTTGGCCCCTGGGCTTGTCAGTCCAGAGCAACAGTGATCCTAGAAGGATCCCTATAGTCAGAAAACATCCCCTGCCAATAATCACCAACTCATTAAATGTAAATGTTTCTTTTATATGTATGTTTGATTCCCTTTCTTCCCCTGAAGGGCTAAACTTTTTGGACATGAAGACCAGTGAATTAAGTTAACATCCAGCTGAGCAAAGACTGCATAACAAACACATCCCTGTAAAATACCACTGCTAGAGGCCACCTTTTTTTTTTTTTTAAATGTCCTCAATTCATTATTCATAGGCTACAGCCTTTGCAAATTTTTCCCCTGTCCAGCCCCACCCTTGATATGAAAGTGCTGAAGGAAGGAATGATTTTAAATACATTGGAGAACAGCACCATTAATAAATAATACAGTTTCAACCAACTTTGTCTAACGTTGCTATAATTAAGTTATAAAAATTTCATGTCAGATTTCTTGCCCAGATTCCTGTGGCTAGGTCAAGGAGAGAAACACAGTGTGTAATACTTACTACTTCCTTGGGAGACAGGAAGCTGTACAACGGGAGGGTTTGGCTGGATTTTTGGCTGGCCTGGTTCTCTGCAGAGGAGCTTCTCTTTGCTGTGATCTTTGAGTGGTGCCTGGAGTGTCTTTGCCGTGTTTTCCGCCCTTCCTCCGGAGATCGGGCTCTGTGCCTCCAGAAGACATGAACAGCCCAACTGTTATTCCTTGGTATTGCAGTAGTGCCCTTTCCCAGCTCCACACAAACCCTTGGCAGCTCAGTGCTGAGCCACTGTGTGTGGGAGATCTTCCACATGACTGCTCTGTGGAGTCATGATGGAGAGAAAAGAGGTTTTTTTGTTGTTGTTGGTTTTTTGATATTTTGCATTCAGACTTTGGACCTTCACCTCAATTTCAGCTCCAATTCATTATTTTAGGGTGGCTCAAGGCCAACCATACTTTCACACAGTCTCCAACGTCCCTGTTTTAATACACCTCCAAGAGGAGACAGGCTCTGCTTGTGCATGAACACCCCTCTAATGACTGCATTCTTCCCCCCACTGATCACATTAGCTTTTCATAAGAGGAGTGATGTGGGAGAGTGAGGGTGGCTTGTTCATAAAGTTAAGTGCTTTCAGAAAATGTGAAACATGAACTCGTGATGGGTATAAACTATATGACTTGCTATTGCAATGGAGCCTGGTTTAGCACCAGCATCCACTTAGGTGGCCCCAGGATGCATCTGTCATACTCAGGACTGAGACTTTAATCAGGTCACAGACAGCAGCTATAAAATGCCGCAGGCAAATTCATTTCCATTGCTAAGACCAAGTTTAAGGGTTTCCTGGGACATCAGCAGTACAGAGCCCTTGGGCTGGGGAAGGGAGACCAGGCTGGCATCAGCTGTCATGGGCTGATCAGCAGCCATGGGGATTAGAAGTGACTGCTGGCCCAAAAAGCTGCAACTACTGCTCCTTGAGCCAAAACCCTTCTGTGGCCAAGACCACCAGAAGCTCAACTCCCAGTATGTGACATGGCTGCCACCAGAACGGGAGGTAGCTCTGCACAGAGCTTGTGGGTCGCACAGGCTATTGGAATCACATCCTTGAGCCCACCAGGAAGTGCTGCAGGACACTCAGCTCAGGGAGCAGGGATGTTACCTGCTTCTGCAGCTGGGGGAGTGGGAGTCGGAGCTCTCAGAGCGGCGGTGGCGGCGGGACTTCCGCGTGCGCCCACGGGAGCTTGGGGAAGCAGAGAGGAAAACCACTGTTAGGACAGCAGGCTTGGGGGGTGAGAGCCAGCAGCTGGAGGCTGAAATCAGTAACATTCAAATCAGAACAGAGATCTGTGTTTTAAACCAAAGAGGTTGGTGTATGAAACTGTGCAGGACACCAAGGCATGAGAAAAAGAAGGTGGCTGTGCTATCGAAAATGCAGACATCAGAGGAAAGGAGGTGAGCTGTCTGCACACAACAGCAGCTGGGAAGCCACAAGTAGCAATTCCCAGGAGAACACAGAAGTGAACAACAGAGAAGGCTTGGAAGCCTTCCTGCCAGCCTTGAGGAACCACGTTTTGTACCATACCCCTTGATTGTCTGCTCCACATGATCAGCATTGTGCTCTGCTAACACTCCAAGACAGGTGGGAACCTCAACCCCAGAATTTTTACAACCTCTATCACTTCCAGTCTCTTCTCTAGTCCCCACTATCCATCTCATTGGGATATTTGGTTGTATTGTATATCATGAGTAGCCCCCACTGTAACATCCAAGAGCAGCAAACAAGGAGGAGCTGCATCCCTTCTCAGCAGGAGTGTGCCAGCCTGTTCTCTGGGCAGCAGAGGCTGTGGGGCACCACACCCTGCAGATCTGAGTTCATCCTCTCATGCTGGATCCTCAGCTCAGAACTGGATGAACTGTACATCCCTATGAGATACAAAGGAAGCACTGAATGAGAAGGCACAGAAGAGAGGGAAAGATCTCCATTGCTCTACTAACCCTCTTCCATTCCAGATGAATCAGAATTGCTGGTTTTAGCTGAGAAATAACCCTAAGAGTTGTTTAGGGCTGTGCAGTCAGTGCTAGTTCCAGGGGACCCACCACATCAAGCGCTTCACAGCCCCACAGCTCTACACAGGCAGGGCAGGAAACACCATTAATCTCTACTTACTGTTTTTTGTGTTTTCTTTCTTCCTTTCTCTTACTTTTGGGGCTTGAAGAACTAAATAAGAAATGGCTAATTAATTCAGAGATTTCTGTTCTGATAAAAAGCTGCACAATCAGACATCAGTGTTACAGGTCTGAGAGCCTGCTGACAAATCTGGCTCATGGGCTTTGCCAAAAAGGATGCTCAAAGGGATCAGCCATCCTGGTGGCTTTGCATTTTCCCATAGAAAATATTAATACTTCTTGATACTGTACATACATGTACTGGAGTCAGGAGAGTTCTTCCAGTGCACTGACTCTGAATGTTTCAAAGGTGGGCATTGCTGGGGGATGCCATACTGTTTGCAGATAAACCACAAGAGAGATGAAGACTCAAGATGTAGGATGGGTGTAACTTGAATGAGGTTGCCAAGGGCTAGGTTATACCAAGAGGTCTTTTTCCAGTTATGTGCTTGATTGCACAGGTTGGGCTGATGACCTGATTCCTCTGGGGCTTGAGGAAGGTAAGGCTGAAAATGGAGAGGGTAGCCCCAGACCCACAGGGAATGGAGGAGCCAGGGGGATTCCACAAGAATACATAAAAGTGTCTTTTTGCCCCCACCCAGTGAACATTAACCTTGTGAGGTCTTGAAGAGCCCATTAAACTCCTATTTCTAAGGGACCACCCATACTTGCTCAGCTCTTACCTGTGTCTTCTCTTCTTTGAAGATAACCTGCAAGACACAAATATGGGCATTGAATGTAGGGTCTCACAAATTTGAATCAATGTGTTTAGGCCCAGTGTTAGACTGAGCACTGTGAGAAGATCTTATGTATAACCTGGGCAAAAGGTTCAAAGCCAAAGAGCATCTAATCCTGGACTTCTGTCAGGGGTCTGATGCCTCCCTCTGCCTCCTGGGCTTGAGCAGCTGCTCAACAGCAGTAACATCTACCCCTTGTCCAACCTCCCCAACAGCCACTGCCAGCAGGAAACTATATTTTTCATGGGAAAAAAAAAATACCTGTTTCTTTTTCGCTTCTTTGAACTTTTCTTCTTCTTCTTCTTCACAGGCGAGGGGCTGTAGGAGGGAGACCTGGGGAGACAGAGGGGCATCAGGGACTGCAGAGCTCCCCACAGCCCTCACCCTGTCACCAACAACATTCCCCAGGGCTGAGGGGGGCTGGGGGCTCCCAGACCCCCACAGGATGGGTGGTGGGGTCAGCCCTGGCCTGGCCTCTGCTGCCTCAAGGGAAGGGTGGTGAGAGAATGGCAGCACCTCCTTGGGCCCTTGGAAACCCCAGCCCCTCAATCCTTTGTGTATCCAGCCCCCATTTTACACCATTCCCCCCTCACACCTCCCCACATCCAGCCCCTATTTTACACCAACATTTCCCCCTCACACCTTCATGTATCCAGCCCCCATTTTACACCATTTCCCCCCTCACACCTTCATATATCCAGCTCCCATTTCTCCCCAGCTTTTCCCCCATCCCATCTCCCCATATCCAGCCCCTATTTTCCACCATTTTCCCCTCACACCTCCCTGTATCCAGCCCCCATTTTACACCACTTTCCCCCTCACGCCTTCATGTATCCAGCCCCCATTTTACACAGACTTTCTCCCCTCACACCTCCTCATATCCAGCCCCTATTTTACACCAACATTTCCCCCTCACCCCTCCCCACATCCAGCCCCCATTTTACACCAACATTTCCCCCTCACACCTCCCCACATCCAGCCCCCATTTTACACCAACATTTCCCCCTCACACCTCCCCACACCCAGTCCCCATTTTACACCAATTCCCCCTCACACCTTCCCACATCCAGCCCCCATTTTACACCAATTCTCCCTCACACCTCCCCACACCCAGCCCCCACTCTGCACCAGCTTTTCCCGCCCCACACCCCCCATGGCCGCCCTCACCTCCTTCTCTTCTTGCGGCCCGATTTCTTCTTCTTCTTCTTCTTCCCCCGGGCCGGTGCCTCGTCACACGAGGGGCTGAGGAGGGCAGGAAACCAAACAAAAACTAATCAGACCAATAAACCTGCAGGCACTATCTGCACAAGATGGCACCGGGCTGCTCTCCCCTCTCTGCCGCCATCCAGGTCAGAGAGATTCGTCTTCACAGCGAACCTGAGGTGCAGGCGAGCACCTAATTACCCTCTAACGAATAATTTGGTCACAGTATAAATGAAGTGTCTCCTCCATGGGTTTAATGGAGATCTAACGAGACAGCTACTATATGCTGTAGTGATACTTGCTGATTATTTAAAACACGTTTGCCGGGGTTAATGACTCCGTAACAGATTTATAGGTTTTGTTGTTCTGTGTAAATATGCTTTAAATAATTAATTGGCATTTAATTTGCATACAATAATTATCGCAACCAGCTGCATCTATCTGTAATGAAAGACTTGACATATCTTAAATAGCAATTGATTAGAAATATATATATATTTATTGAGATGCTGTGGTAATTTAATGAGATATGCATCTCAAACACAGTTGTTAAACCTTGAAAAAAACCTCCTGTAAATTAATTTATTTTTTCAACATACAATACTGTATTGTGTTATTTTTCAATGAAAAGCAAATACCATGGTTACATCAATTCAGAGCACTGGGCTAAAAAGATAACAGATACTCTGTGACTACTCATAAACCAAACACTAAGATAGTGACAGCCTATGGATCCCCAGGTTAAGCCCCAAATCAGCCTGTGGAACCCTTAGTTATTCCTCAGATCTATCTGTGGATCCCCAAATGGATGCCTGGGTGAGGTTTATGGGGGGCACAGCCAGCTTCCCAAGGCCTCTGCAAAATCACTGTTGGAAATGAAGGTACTGGGCTTGTGCCTCAGTTTCCCCACTTGTAGCCCTGCTGGTGGGAGAAGCTGCTAGCAGGGAACATGCAACAGCAGCCCTGTGTTTGGAAAACTCTGTGGGATCCTCACTGCAGAAACCTGCTAAAAACCAAAGATTTTTTGCAGAAAGAACTAACACTGTTGTTATTTAGTGTCCTGATGCAGAGCAAATGCCACAGCACAGTGAGCTGCCAGAGATGGGGACATGGTGGGGGTCTCAGGCTCCACAACCTCCCTTACAGTTGCTCACAGGGGCTTGAATTGCTACCAGAGTTACACTCTGGTAAAAATCCAATTGCTTAGTGCTTTTAATACATCTGACCCAGACCCTCTGGGTCTGAGCACCCTTCTCAGCCCCCCAGGGTTTAGAGTGCTCAACACCAGCTCCCACCTGCTTGCTGGGCACAGCCAGGGGAGAGCAGGGAGGCACCTCTACCTGTGCCAAGCAGGCAGCTTCCATAGAGCCCTTCTCCCTTTCACCAGATAAAGCCTTTTGTCTTTCATCTGGAAGCTTTCTCCCCGAGTTGATCTGATTTTAATTGTTTCGCCATGATTGTAATCAACGGCTAATTAAAAATACACTTTAGATTAGTGTTCTGGTTAGCCTGAAGTCTGAATATATGAAATGTGCTTTCTTGCTCTTTCTTTCCAGCATCTTTAACCAAATAGAGAGGCTTTAATCTCAGACAGTTTAGCAGGCAGGGTTCAGAGACCTTAGCTACTTCATTTAGAATGTTTGATTCATTTCTGCCCTCTCAAGTTGTCAGGGGGCAACGATGAACTGATAATGAAGCTGTGTCCTCATGAAGCCAATGCTGCTGGTCTGACCTGGGTGTTGGGAGAAGGGAATTGCTGAGCCAAGGGTACCCCATGGACATGGTAGCACACAGGAAAGCTGGCAAGGTGACGGCTTTCCAGCCAGGATTACTGGAAGGGGGTTGTAAGAGCAAAATGTGGGGTGGGGGTGAACTACAGGTGCATCCATGCACAGGATTCCACGCACAATTTTGCGGCACCTTCACGTGGCCGTTCAATCCATCCCCAGCTCTCACAGGCCTTGAGAGGGGCTGGGTAAACAGTCCCTCTGACACCTCCCTGCTTTCAGGGTGACCCTCTCACAGCCCTGGCTCCTACCTGTGGCGAGCATGGTCTCTTCTCTCCTTCCCTTTGGCACAGCCGTTGGTGCTGGCAGCCTCCTTGAGCGCTCGGCCGCTCAGCTTCTCAGGACGTCTGTCCTCTGCGGGGTACGGCAGGCAGCTGAGGGTCCCACTGCAGGAGTGAGGGGAGAGAGACAGCAATAAAGAGCTGCCCTCACTGCCTGGCTCCTTTGCTGAAGGCTTTCCATGGGGAATCCCCTTTCCCCTCCACAGGTAGGAGCGGTGCTGCTGTACCTTGCTCTCTGGCCTCCTGAGGCCACAGTACCCAGCTCTGCAGCAGGAGCTGCTCCTGCAAGGCTCCAGAAAGCTCCCATTTCCAAGGCAAGCCATGCCCCAGTCTCAGCTTCCAGGCAGAAATACCACAAGCATGGTGCAGCCAAGAAGCAGCCAGGTGGCCCCATTCAACAGGGACAGCACAGGGTACAGGTCCAAAGCATCAGCAAGGAGTGATGGTAGCTGATCAGACCAGCACTGCTGGACACCTTTGTCTATGGTGTGGGTTTTAGCTTAGCAGCTCTGCAGAAACAGCACTGGTCTGGCACTCTGGTAGAAAATAAAAAAGCTTTTACATTTCAAATGCTATTCTCCAAATCTGCCCTTGTACTGCCAACACCTTGCCATGCACCCTCATCCTGTCCCCCCTGCCAGCACTCAGAGGGAAGCAAAGCTCCAGCAGCCAGGGGACAGCCCTCCTCACTTCTAAAAATAGGGGCCTGAGCCAGTAAACACACCTGGTCCTGAAAAAAAACTAGAGAACCTGGGAGAGCCCAGCGTAGCTAAGGGGAACCACCTGGGCCAGGCAGGTACCTGCAAGAGCTCTGGGGAGACCATGAAATTTGGTGAGGATCAGAGCCAGGATGGGGCAAGCCTGAGGTGAGAGGTCTCCAAGAAATACTGGGGCTTGGACATGGGAAGCTCAAATGGAAAAAATAAGCCAAATGGAGAAAAGAAACCCAAACAAGCCTGAAATCAGACACTTGGGATGAAAGTGAATAGGTTTCCAGGATCTTCATTTCAAAGAACAGGAAAATTAATGGAAAGCTATAAACCATACCCAGCAGGGGGGCCAAGAACACTGTGCTTTTGGTGTCATCCAGAGTATTATTCGAATAAATAAAGCAACCCTGTCCTGGCTGCAGACACTGTCACAGCCACCACACATGAATAGGAACAAGGGGCCAGGTGCCTGCTGTGCATCTGGGGGGTTAAACAGGGCCAGGAGTGGGTGGGGAGTGTTAAAAAACCAATGTGACATTAAAATGGCACCTTAGCCCCAGTTAGGCATGGCCAGAGACTTGCATGCCCCAGGGAACATCCTGCTGCCTGCCCCAGCCCTAAGCAACACTTATCCAGGCTGGAGTTGGCACAGAAGTACCTGTAGAAGAAGGCTCACCTCTCTTTTTCTACCTGTGTTTTCTCACTCAACAAAATATCACTTTCTCTAATAGCTGACTCCTTCTTGGAGCCCATTTTGCAATGCCTGAACGTTTAAGGGTGTGCATCAGCCAAATCAAAGCAACAGAGGTCAGTGGGGGGAAGTGGGGTGAAATATTTCTGACTCAGGACATCCAGGAGGTGATGGTTCCTCTGGCTTTAAAAATCTTTTATTCTGCTTGTATTAAAATCTCCCAGCCACTTCCCAACATCTATGTTACTTTTAATCATCCAGGAAGCTACATGGTTATTTGGTCTCTTTGTTCAAGCTAATTAGCTTGTGGCCTCTCCTGAGCCCCTTTTAAGAACTGTCTTCTGAGGCTCAATCATTAGGATCCATTAAAAATGTCCCCACGTTAATGACCTGTGCAAAGACTGGGCTGGATCAGCTCCAGCAGTTGAGGTGGGAAGGATCCTCCTGGGGCTGACAGCACCAGAAGGGACCTGGGCACAGTGGGTGGTGTCCCTCTCACCCCAGCCCCTGCTTCCACTAATGGGATTTTCAGGTCCTGGAGTTAAATCATATTGGCCTTGAGGCAACCAAGGACTCTGTCCTGCAACACGCTGGGAGCCATGTCTTCTGGGCTTGGAAGTAATTATTGATGGAAATAATTATTCTCCAATTCCATCAAAGGCTGGCTTCAATTCAACTAAATGTTCTCCTCTGATGAATGCTGAGAGTCTCTAAGTTTCTAAACTGGCTGGTAATCTCCTTGTGTTAAGCTCCACAGACCTTGATTGGATATATATGTATATAAAAACCCTACATGTATTTGTTGTTGTTGTCTTCTGTGTCTTTCTGAACTGATACAAATGTGCTTACAGCTTTTACTGTGGCCTCAAAGGAGAGAGTTATCACACCTTGCCCTGCCTGCAGCAGAAAGGAGGAAGCCTCTGTGGGTGTTTTGTTGGGGCAGGGCAGTGAGGACACAGCTGGAAGTGCTGGGGCTTGCTCAGCACAGGGGATGTGCTGCCCACAGAGATGTGTCCTGGAGCAGGCAGGAGGAAGTGGGGGCAGGAAGGATGCCCAGGGTATGGTCTGCTGAAAGGCAACACTGCTTCAGGCTCAGAGTCAGGACCACAGCTTCTCTGCCAATGCATGGGCCGTGTGTTTATTCCTAAGGATGCACTCCTGGCCTCAGGCAGCCAGGCCAAGACAAGGAAGCTGCCCAGCTGCTTTGCCCGGCCTCTAAGTTTCTCTGTTCTCATTAGATGATTGCTTGCACTCTATTTTCTTTCTTCTATGCAAAAATCCATCAGGCCTGCCCAAAAGCAGTGTCCCTGCTCCTGACAGGAAGCCCCCAAGCAGCACAGAGCACAGCACACCCCATGGGCAGCTCCCCTTGTGCCCTCTCTTCCCAGTGTTCTCCAGTCTAGGAGGGGATTTTTGGGCTCATGGCACGTTTCACCAGCTTTTCAGCTGCTGGCAGAGCAGCAGCAGGCACACAGAGCTCTTGCCTTTCCCACCAGCCCAAACCTATCACCACTTCTCTGCAGAGGCCACTTCTCCACAGAGGGCAATGCAAGGCCAGCAGGGTCCCACAGAGTGCTTGACCTGGGGGATGTGCTGGGCCAGCAAAGACCCCTCAAGTGAGTGGTTAAAGACGTGCTTTGGCCTCCAAAACCAGGGGTGAGCCCCATGGGTGAGTCCTGGAGGCTTGAACCAGTCCAGCCATGGGGAAATATCCCCTCCCCTCTTAGCCCCCACAGCATTGCCCTTCCTGGGCAGATCCTGGTGTCCTTCATAGAGGGTGGGGGAAGGCACAGGGTATTTGCTGCCTCAGGGAGCAGAGCTAACTCACAAACCATCCCTGCTCCTCCATCCCGGAGCTGCTGTGCTCAGTGCCACGGCCAAGTGCCATCTCATCAGGCCATGAAATGTGGCCCCTGGTGACACACGCCTCACCAGGAGCTGAGCCCAGTGACACCCATCCCCCCCAGCCCCGTGCTGACAGGCAGGCAGGGGTTTGGTGAGCACTGGAAGCCCTTGCGTGCTGGCATCCCAGCGCTGCTGGGGCTGGGCAGCCCCCCTCCCCTACCCACAGGCTGCCACAGCCCAGCTCCTCTGCCCTGGCCCCCCAGCAGCCTCCTGCCACAGAGCTTTCATCAATCATCCTTTTCCCCCACAGTAACTCAACTCCTAACCTCAAGAGGGGAGAAAAACAGGGAAATGGCCATCCTAGTGCTCTTGCAGCTGCCAGAGCCTGTCACCAGGCCACCTCGCCTCCTGCAGCAGGATTGTCCCTCACCTCCATAGGTCCAGCAGTCCCAGCCCTGGGTGGCCTTGCCACAGCCCCTCTGCCCTGGTCAGCTGCCTTGCACCAGTAGCACGAGCACACAGGGGCTGGATGATGCTACCCAAGCCCTTTCATTTTTTTTATCATGTCTTTTCCTTTGCACAGGCAGCTGGGTTGGGTGGTGGCTGCAGAGCCCGGGCAGGAGGGTGGTGTGGCAGGGCATCTGGCTGCACAGAAGGACATGTAGGAGACCCTGAGCACTGGCAACACCTGGCAGGCCTGCACCAACAGCATTTCCACGCTCAGGACAGAGTATTTGGGAAAGTCAATATGGAAACTTTACTACCTTGCCCTTTCCAGCCCTGGCTGGCTCCATGCTCCCATCACCTCTACTGTCCCTGGTGGAAAGTTAGGAGCAGCTTTAGCCAGCTGGAACCCCAAAACTGAAAAAGGTTAAAGCAGTATTTAATTGTTTAAAGTGATTGTTTCTCTTGCATTAAACCAATGATGGATGCATTGCCTGGGGACTGGGAACACCAGCCCATGGAAGGAGCCAGGCACCCTCAGCAGATCCATGACTCCCAGGGGAAGCAGGAGAAACTCCTGCACCCACAGCCACTCGCACCAGTAATGTGCAATAAGTCCATGGATGGACCCATGACTAAATACCTCATCTTTCCTGTCTTACCCTCACCTGGAGGTCTTGGTGGCACAGGAGAGGGCAGGAGGTAGGTTGGGGACCCCACTGTCCTGCAGCTCTCTGCCACAGCCACCTCCAAGGTGCCTCTGCCCTGGTCTCTTGGCCCAGGAGAGGTTGGGCTGGTGGCAGGACATCTGGCTGCACAGAAGGACATGTAGGAGACCCTGAGCACTGGCAACACCTGGCAGGCCTGCACCAACAGCATTTCCACGCTCAGGACAGAGTATTTGGGAAAGTCAATATGGAAACTTTACTACCTTGCCCTTTCCAGCCCTGGCTGGCTCCATGCTCCCATCACCTCTACTGTCCCTGGTGGAAAGTTAGGAGCAGCTTTAGCCAGCTGGAACCCCAAAACTGAAAAAGGTTAAAGCAGTATTTAATTGTTTAAAGTGATTGTTTCTCTTGCATTAAACCAATGATGGATGCATTGCCTGGGGACTGGGAACACCAGCCCATGGAAGGAGCCAGGCACCCTCAGCAGGTCCATGACTCCCAGGGGAAGCAGGAGAAACTCCTGCACCCACAGCCACTCGCACCAGTAATGTGCAATAAGTCCATGGATGGACCCATGACTAAATACCTCATCTTTCCTGTCTTACCCTCACCTGGAGGTCTTGGTGGCACAGGAGAGGGCAGGAGGTAGGTTGGGGACCCCACTGTCCTGCAGCTCTCTGCCACAGCCACCTCCAAGGTGCCTCTGCCCTGGTCTCTTGGCCCAGGAGAGGTTGGGCTGAGCTGCTCGCAGCATTTCTAAAATCCACCACTTTTGGCTGAGAAGCCTTCTGGTGCAGGCAAAATGACCCTTTCATGTTCTCTTTTGCTCCCTGGCTTTGCTCATCTGATTGTAAAAGAAAATGGTCAAACTGTTCCTTTGTCCTGGGAGACGAAGGGCACAGAAAAGAAGGTTTTAAAGACATTTCCAAGCAAAAACTCCAGCAGATGTGTTTACATAAAGCTCTTTGAAACACGCACTAAAAATACCTCTTCAGAATTAGGAGATGGGGAAAATTGTAAGTGCTTCCCACCAACACACACACACAAAGACCCCAAGGCAGGTTCTTTCCTCACCTCATTCAAACCATTATTATTAGGGCAGCAGGAGCCCTGCAGTTTGTTATTGAAAATTATAATAGCAAATCACTGAGATATTTTCCCTGATTACACAGACTCCAAGCCAGTTCAATTTTAATCTTCTCCTTGCTATTTTTTTTTTCCTGTGCATCAGCAGAGGCACCAGCTGCAGAAAAGCACATGGTTTTCTTGAGGCAGTTGAAACACAGGAGAGAAATACAATTCTGTAATAGACATTTTTTTCATCCAGGTTTTTTTGGCCAGCTGTGACTCACCTCCCCCTCCTGGTCCTCGCAGGAACCCTGCTCCCTGCTGCCAGCCTGGATGCAGCAGCAGCAGCTCTTTTTGCCTTTTGGGCTCCAGAAACATTTAACGACCACTCTTAGCCTATCCCAGGCCAAAAAAGCAGCTTGGCTCTTTATTTTTCAGCCGTTAATTTGCTATGCATGGTCGAATCAGAACAGAGGAGCTTCCCTGCTGGAAGAGGCCCCGGCAGTGAGGCAGGGTCAGTGCCAGATGCTCGGGGGGAAGCTGTGTGGTCGCAGCCCACGGGGACAGCTCAGCCCCGGACACCAGCTGCCAGCAGCTCCCTAAAACTCCACAGGGGACAGCGATACTCCCATGGGCAATCTTTCTTAGGTAGGGTCAGGCACGACGGTGAGCACAGCCTCTCCCTGCTCCTCACGGCTGGGTCTCCTTCTCCCTAGGGACGCTTCCCATCCCTCTTCCCACCAGAGCACCTGGCAGGCTTCTGCCTCACCTTCCCTCGCTGCCAGCAATCCAGGATGGCTCTGCCTGCTGCCACAGCAGAGACCAACCCGAGGAACACGGCAGGGGCTGGACCATTTCTAAAGGAAACCTGGACCACTGCCCCACCTCCCACGCTGCCGGAGGTCCCTGCAGTGCTTTGTGCCCACCAGCACCTGCACACTGCCCGGCCAGGCTTGCTCTCTTGTGCCTTTCCTACCCTCAAATCCTGCTCCTTAGACAAATACCCTGCAGGCTCCCAAGAAGCCAGATTTCTCCTC